TTATAATGCGATTGACAATATAAATTGGAACATGCAAAAATCATTGTCGTGCAAGAGGTAAAAGATGCCACGATAAAATTCTCAATTTTTTATTATAAAAGTTATGGTCAAATGGAAAGTTGTATTCCAATCTGACTAAAATCCTTACTTTTGGCTTGCGAATTATAGTGAATCCAATTATTAATCGATGAAGGTGTCACAAACTTTTCACTGATTTTTTTAAAATAAATTTTCCGATTATATATCCATGATATCATAATATAGAAAATGCGATTATAGCATATTTAGTTAGTGATATTAATTAATGATATTAGTATATTCTGTTTAAAAATTGAGCAATAAGACAAAAAAAAAATTGTTTTTTGTTTTTTTTTTTCTGAAATAATTTCAAAATTTATGGCAGCTTTGTTCTATTGTTACTCCTATCGTTATTATTATTGTTATTGTTATTGCTAATGTTATTGCTCATGCCTAATCCAAACTATTGAATGCAGGACGCTTGCTAATGACAGCCTATTAGTGCCATTCTTAATGATTGCTAATTGTTGGTCTAGTAATTATCCACAAAGGTCGAGATGACTGCCCAATATTCCGTTCTCGTTGCTTCTGTCTTTGACGTTGTTGTTGCCGTTGTTGTTGTTGTTGCAAAAAAATTCGAGATCTGGTAGTAGTCGTTCGTGGTGTTGTTGTCGATCGAGTAATTCGACGTGTCATTAACCTGAAACTATTTAAGCATTACTTTAAGTATGCTAATAAAAAGCATATTGTTTATTGCTTTGATAACAGATCTAATTCGATACTTCGTTAAAATTGATAATGAAATTTAGTTAAATACTCGCGAGATTTAATCAAATATTTCATTGAAATTGATCATCGATCAAATTTCATATATGAGTATTTTTTTTTATTTCATAAGCAATCAATTATTCTTTTGATCTTGCAAGGAACCTAAACTAAATTTGTTTTTCTTTTTTTCTAGGCAAAGTCAAAATTTAATGTGATCGAAACCGAAATACTTATTTTCAATTACACAATTAACTGAGCCTATCATTTTTTTTTTGGATTATTAATTTTAAATATCTTGTTAAATCATTTCACATATTTTATTACTACCAGTGATCGCTTGTTTGGATTATTATCAATGATGATAAGATTGTAAATATCAAGATAGACATAACTACACCACAACATTTTAAAGAAACAATCTGTATAATTCAAAAGAAGATTGTCTAAACAGCTGACACGAATAAATGATATTTATTTTGTCATCCATTAATTTGATTACGTAAAACGCTTAGCGTAAAACATTTTCTGTAAAAAATTTAGAGTGCAATAAAATAAGCAAAAACCAACTGATTAACTGAGTTTTTATCAGAACCAATCATTTTTCTTGTGAATTTTTTAATTTTATTTTAAATATTAAATTTTCATTTTAAAAAAACTAGCATAAATAGTTTCAAGTTTTAAAGATAATTTAAAAAGCAAGAAATTAACCTTTGGATAACTGGCTTAGTTATCGATCTTCGCAGACCGGATTGTTGAAAACTATTCAATGACTTAGCTGAATACGGAGTATAAGGTGCAATATATTTTTGTCTCGGT